AACATCAGAATGTCAGCCCTTCTTTTGTGTATCAGGCACACGTCCTGGCTTTTGGATACGGAAAAGTCCCCCCGAATTTCCTGTCTACTCTTCAATTATAGTGCACCTGGGAGTGAACATAAGCAAAATAAAGTTGACTTCAAGTTTTAAGTCATACAATACAGGTTGGGACAGTTTATCCTCACTTTGGGACAGATGAAATTTATTTTTGGGACAGTGCTGGGACAACAGGAAGAAAAGTTAATTTCCAGGCCTGCTGCACCAGTGCAGGAATGCAGAAAAAAGTATTTTGAGCCCTTAAAGATGTTCTATTGTGTTTGTGTACGTTTGAGTTGACTTTTACTCAGACTTGAGCTAAAGAAATAGATAGTACTCTCAGGCAGACAAAACGCAAACAAAGGGAAGTTGTCCAGACTTGTCAGATTTCCATGAAAAGTTGCATCTTCTATTGAAAGACTCTTGTTCTTATCCTTGTAGCTGTACCTCTGTATCTGTATCGGTACCGTATAGCCGGTATAACCACCCTTGGCCTTTGGCGTAACACACCAGCTTTGAATGCTTGCTCGTCAATGCATGTACATTATAGGAAGTCAATACAAAGTTTTGGATCCTTCATTTCCGAAATCAATTTCTAAGTAAGGTCACAGGCCTAAACAGTAATGAACACTAAAACGTAATTACTCAGTGATAAAGCACTTCACTTACCATGAAATGTACGTCAGAATCAATTCCATGTCCTTTGCAAGAACTGAACAATGATTTTGGTAGATTCTTTTGGTTAATACTCATTAATTGAAAAGACATTAACAGTCCTATTTTTATTGCTGTTGTTCCATTTTCAGGTGTGACATACAACATGTTCCCATTGTTGATATGGATTTATGTATTGACAATATTGATGTTTTTGTGCTTGTGGGACAGGAAGATGGTACATGAATATATGTATCTGGGCCAAACTGTAGGCCTGTCTGGGCCCTAAGACCTGCAATTAGTTCTGCTTTGGTGGTTTTTCAGGTTACCTAGGAAACCTAGGCAGGTATTTCAGAGAAATCCATAGTATCGTGCCTGGAAAGTCATAGTTATAACTAGCAAGTCTGCTAGATAATAGATAAACTTACAGCACAGAAAATCTGCTCTATAATACTATATAGGTGTACATATGTAAAACAAGTATTTATTGGTTTTCGGATTTTTTCAGAAAAAGCGACGGCAAAAAAACCCAACAGTATCATGATAGCCATAGAGAGTGATAGACATCCTATGATAGCCCCAAATGCTACAATAGGAGACATGAAGTCAACATACTAGGCTGGTTTGTAATTCAAAGAAACTTTTAATCAAACTACTACATTGATAGATGAAAAAAATGTAACAACTCTGAATAGAAGGGACTTCCCTCAACTGTTGGGACCAAAATAGGAACACTGTAAAGTTGATTCAAAGGCTGAATTGTTTTATTTTTTGCAAATCGGAAAAAAAATTAAAGGAATCCGTGAAACAACAAATTAAATTGGTGTGGCCAAAGATAGAACCTACTTGATAAAACTACAAAAGGCTGTATCCATTTTAGTTCAATTGACACATTTCTTGTGATTGTTTCCACCTATTCCAAGTAAACAAAAAGTGTAGTCATTTCTTACAAAAACAAATTTGGGAAGGCCACAATACCTGGGTGTGGCAGCCCCAATGTCATGGTCATTGGTATTCTAGTCACTCACACACTTAGGCAGCTCTGTCAGTGATAAACAACACAATTACACTGTCTACATTCCGCCACAGTAATAAACAGGGTCTAGTCTTGATGAAATTATACAATCTGTGTAACTTGTTACTTGCAGTGCATGTGTCTACATCAGGGTTCTAGCCAGCTCAAATTTTTTTTGCCGTCAGCTCAGGTTCATGATTGGATCTGGGGGGAAAGTGCTCACAATCTAGGGGGTTCTGGGAACAAATTTTTTTATTAGGCCACACCAATTTAATTTGTTGGTTCTCGGATTTTTTCAGAAAAAATATGAAGCGACAGGGCGAAAAAAAAATAAAAATAAAAACCGGCCTAGGCATCCTATTATAGCCCCAAATGCTTCGATTGGAGCCATGAAGTCAACACAAAAAGCTGGGATAGCATTTAAACAAAGAATTTTGAACTTTTAACCAAACCACTGCATTAAAAGATTGAAAAACTGTAACAACTAGGAAGAAAAGGACTTTCCTCAACTGTTGGGAGCAAAATATGAGCATTTTTTAGATGATTCAGAACCAGAATTTTTTTTTTTTTGCAAATCAGAAAAAAAATGAAGAGGCGAATCCGAGAACCAACAAATTAAATTGGTGTGGCCTTATTTTCAAGCCTTTAAAAAATTCAATTTCTCATTTTTGGAGAGGCAAATCATGGGGTTTAGAGTGTATGTTGGTGGTCTTTTGGATTTTTTTATAACCTAAGATTTTGGTCAATTTTGTCTATCAAGGTTTATGGATTGGTTAAAAAAAATTCTGTCATATGCCCCAAAGTTCCTGCTACCAGTATTAAAGAGCCCTGGTCTACATTCAGACATTATTTCATAAATGTCTGCTATTGAGGTTCCCTACCAACAAATATACTGTTTTCTGTCTTTTCAATGAGTAAGCAGACATATGTTGTCAAATTTATCAATTCAACTGTAGAAGTAGAAGCTAAAGCTAATGTCTTTGATTTAACAGAATGAATTAGAATTTAGAAGGTAAATGAGGTCTCAAACTTGAAGTAAAGATGAATTAACAATAGAAGTTTAGGGTACTTGAATGAGAAAAGTCGTCTAGGATTCTTAGGCCACACCAATTTAATTTCTTGATTAACGGGTTCACCCGCTTCATTTTTTTCTGATTTGCAAAAAAAAATATTATTCTCATATTATGCCCTGAACAGTTGAAAAATGTCCTTTTCGTCCAAGTCGTTACAGTTCAAATTCATTGTTTAAATTTTGAACCAGCCTGGTGTGTTGACTTCATGGCTCCTATCGTACCATTTTGGGCTATAATAGGATGCCTAGGCCTGTTTTTTTTTTTTCGCCCGCCCGCTCCATTATTTTATCTAGAAAAATCTGTTAACCAAGAAATTAAATTGGTGTGGCCTTATGGGGAATATGGGAGTTACTAGCAGAAGTTTAGGGTACTTTTTTGAATAAGAAATGACATCTAGGATTCTTAATCTTACGATTATCTATTTTGTCTCTGCTCTTGACTACCGGTGACTGTCAAAGTTTTCAAATACAACTTACTCCATTCAGTTTCATAGAACCAAACTCTGAGCTCTCTGATCAGAATAGATAATGATTTTGACAACAAAAGATGTACACAGTATACGAAACCCTGTGAGCTCACCATGTGTGTGTGGGTGAGTGGGTGAGACTGACCCCAGCCTTCCAGAACAACACTGGGCAGGAAACCGTGTCTCCTGGTTCTGTCATTTCCTCAAAGTCGCACACTACATCACTTCCTGAATACAAAATCATAGGTCTGCATGTACAAAGCACATGTGAGAAACCATTTTCCTCAGTTCTTTTGAAAGTACTCGTGCCTCTAGGGTTGGTTTGTCGGGAAAGGATGACTTTAGACGAGACAGAAGTCAATGAAAGTTCAAGTTCATGTAGTAGAGTAAGTACCCTTTTCTTTAGCCTTATTACTATCTTGAAGTTCAATCGGTATCATGCAATATCTATTGTCAAATGGGAATTATGACTTAACAAAGGGCAGGCAGAACTATATAAAGTGACAGTGAACTTGGTACACTGAAGTAAAGGCTATTTACGCATCATAGACACATTATATTGGTACTCAAGCAACTGTTGCTTGAGTAACTGCTTTTTGGCGTATCTTATTACCTGGATGTATAATACTATAACCTTCACTTACGTAAAGGCCATTTATTTGATTTTTAGCTTTTAAAAAGAGGCACTGGGTCTAGTTGACATTGACCATTGAATGTGTTTATATTCCTCATGGCCTTTTGGTAGTGTTATGTAAACAACACTTGTTTTGACTCTGATTTGAGTCAACAACAACGATAAAGACCTTGACTGCAAGGCTATATTAGTGTATACAAACAAAATTTCCTACTTCTATGACCTTGGTTTCAGTCTGGGAAAATGTTCTCATATTCTAAATATGGTATAGAAAACATAACTTACCTTTTTAGTCTCTGAAACCGTTTTACAAGAGGAACAGAAAACTTTCTGTGTGTTCTTCCTATAATTTGGACATTTTGAGTTATGACATGTCTGTGTTGTCATCTGGTATTCGTATCTAAACCTGGGGGTGGGGGGTTATGAGGTAGACTTCAAAGCTGTCATAATTAAGTCTGTCCAGTTTTTAAGACATGGCATCACCCCCATCTCAGTTGGCTGCAGGATACTTCCTAATGAACCAAGAAGTCCGAGTGTCTGCTGACACAGCTGTGAAGAACTACTGTAAATTACTTAATGTTTGTAGTAGCAAAAGTTCGCAGTCTGAGAAAAATGGACATGTGACAAGATGCAGCAAAAAGAAAGTTGTGGAATTATTTCTTCAAGGTAATCGATAAGTTTGCAGTACAAAAGTGACTGCGAAAACTGCAAATATGAAACTTTAATTAAAAGTACTGCAGAAAAAATCGTGAATTACAGTACCACAAACAAAAGGTCCCCCCCCCCCACAAAAAAAAATTCACCTTATCCAAGAAAAGCAACTCTTTCCGCTATCTGGGGCATGAAATAAGAACACAAGAGCTCACTTTGTGGGAATTCTATTTTCGTTTCTGGTCATGTTGACTTAGTGGGTTTGGGTGTTGCGATGCGTATCAAAAGATCAATGGAGGACACTGGACCCAACCATTAGTTCTCCTCCATACTTTTATAGGAAAACGAGGGGTATGGATCTTGTTAAGGTTTCCCCGGGGAATCCTAAGTCCCAAGGCTTGAGGAACCAATGGGGCTAGCTCCTTGGCTTGGCGGCAGCAGTTATACTAATAGAACTGTGACCATGGAAAGAGCATTTACTGCCTCCTACTGGTCTGTCTCAAGTGGGGAAGTGTAGGGTGGCAGGAAGCGTTCTTTCTCAGTCAGGGTAGCTCATACAGGGCATAGGGTTACCACATAACCCTGCCCGCTTCTTGGTCTCAGTTGATAGACAAGCCTGTGGTGAACAGTAGCCACAGAAGAGGCCTCCTGTCTGTGTGCAGCTCTGGCCTGGGTTCTCAGGAGGCCTGTTTTATCTAGTGTGTGCATAAGGACTTGTGTACACATACACCCAGTGTATACACAGTACAGCCAGGGCTCAGCTTGAGAGAGAGAGGATGGTCTAGATTAGCTGTGTTGGGGTACTGTGGTGGTGGTGTGTACGACCTTGGCTCCCCCGGCACACACCAAAAGGATGCAAGTATGCTACGGAAAGCCAAAAGTTGGGCCTCTCTGCAGGTAGGTTAGACTTTGTGCTGAATGATAAGTTTTCCTAAGAGCAGTCTAGTTCCCATACGAGGGTAAAAGAGGGTTAGAAATGGCCAGGGTTGGTGGTAAATAGCATGTTTAGTGTGTGTGCCATTTGTCAACTGGCAGTGCCGGGTACATAGGTCACTGGCTATAGCCAGGGTCACTTTGGCCCCTTGGTGTTATGATCTTGCCCATGCCCCTTTTGGACACTGTTACTGTTATGTGGAATGGACATGACAGAGTATATAAGAGTACCCCTCCTTGTTTTCTCATTCTGGGAGGTTTTGTTTGTTGTTGTTGGTTCGGAACATTTCCCTGTTGCTGTCAATTAACGCTTGTTGAGTGGCAGCCTACCGGTTCCAAAATGTGCCCTCCCACCTTTTCCTAAGAGCGATACACCCCAGGCTTTGTGCCCGGTATCTATAGGAATCCTCGGGGTTCCATTCTCTTCAGTCTGCCATTGTGAACCCGGCCATTCCCCTGCGCTGTTTCTCCATTCTATCACAGCTGCCAGCTACCATACCCCAGGGTCACCAGACACATTATATTGGCATGTATTACACACACTCCCTGGTAAAGATCCTGTACGGTGACCTCTGACAGTTGTACTACCGCAGCAGTCTCCTACCAACCATGTTGTGGTCTTCACCCTGTCTGAGAGTCAAAGAATCTTTTGTTTCCGAGACCGGCGGGCTACATACGGATCCGGGATGTTCTCGCGCTTTTCCGTACGTCGACGAATACACACTCGTTGCCACTCCTAGCTCCACTGTTATGGTAATAATAACGATTTGCATGCAAGTTACAATGCTGTGCTGATGATCTCATGCTGTTTTTTTTTCTAACGGATTTTCTATGTTTTTTTAGATGGCAGAGGGGCGACGATGCCAGGTCCAACTCTTGGACGATCGAAAGCTGGAATTTCTAATCCAGGTGAGACACTTTCTAACGTGTGTGAGGTTTTCTACGATAGACCACAGCGTTTGGGGCAACGGAATTCATTTTGTCACGTTCTACCATAGAAGGGTAGACCAATTTAGACTACCCTTTACTAAAATAGTACCCACACATATTTATGGTGGATACTGCATGAATGAAGCCGCAAAAATCAATTTTGTCATATATGGACCATTGCATTTAATATTCCACAGTTGGGTCCAAGATGAAAATAGGTCTGTACAGGAATGGGTGCCTGGCAGCAGTGCTATGTGTGTTGGTATGCCACAATGTTGTTATATGAAAGAAGAACTTGCACAATGGTGATGAAGCAATTTTAAAACATAGCTTTAGCCCAGCAGATTTCAGCCCACTCAAAGACTAGATAATGTAAGTGAAATTGAAAGGGGAAGGCATCTGTGACCAAATTTGGTTTTCTAACGCCCGCAGCTGTTATTATATTATCTCTGCTGTGGTCAGTGTGTGTCAGAACGTATAGACAGAAATATACATAATGTGACTTGCCATGTTGTTGCTTTGAGTCTCTCTGGTACCGTTCCCATTTTCAGAAGTGAGCTCTGCAAAACCCGAAATTGGGAGTTTTAGGTAACACTACTAGTGTTGAAATGAAAATCTATACAGAAAATTGAGCCGTTCATACTTGTCATTCCGTTCAGAAAATCAATGGAAATTAAGTCGATTTGCCACCAAGACCACACCGATACCTTTGATTGAAAGGTACCTATTTGAAAGCGTGTGTATGTTAAAGACACAAAGGTTAGGAGTACCAAATATACCAGGAGTGACCAGACAAAAATAGTTTACCCCGTCCACAACTGGGCACACAAACTTCGGAGCTGTGTTTGTTTCAGGTGGCCGGCAGACGCAATTGACTAAAAAGGCTAAACGCCGCTCAAACTTTGCACGTAATTGTGAAAAGGTTTTAGAATGGACAGAACAATTTTTCTGTTATGAGGTACTGTCTCAGAAATGCTCATAATTTCCTTTTTCTCATCTTTTGGGATCATACTAATAGCCCCCCAAAATAATAACAAATAAAATCATCTTTCGTGCTGCCCTCTTTCAGTTTCATTTCTCCAAAACTGAAAATGATATACATGTAGTTCTATACAGTGCTCAAAGTTGCTAAAAACCATTCTTTCATATCAAGACATTGTGGCATACCAGCATATACATGTACATTTGTTTATATAATATAGCACCTGTACATGCATTGTGTCGAGAAGAATTGAAATAGGGGTAACCATTTGGGGATATACATAGTTTATGTAAATAAATGTATGTATTCAAATTGTATGTATTGAAATTAATGATACAAAATCAGATTAATCAAGTATAATCTTTCTTCCAGGATGGAATACTAACTTTATGAAATTTTTTTTTTGGAATGAATTTTTTATGTGAAACTGAATGACTTCTATATGATTGAGCCATGTGTAAAAACACACTGATGGTGAAAAATGATAACATAAAATCTAAGGTACGAAATATAAGCTTCAGAAGTCAATCCTGTACAGGCCGTAATGCTTATTCATTCCCATTCTATAGCAATAACGTTTCATGAATTATGCAAGCTAACGGTTGAGTTAGTACCATTGAAAATATAGGTCATATGAATGCTCACATTGAAACTGATATGGTAATCTTTCCACTACCTGCCAAGGCCTAGGAAAAAACTGTTGTGTTTCCTGTTTCCCAATCGACTATAGAAAAACTGCCGACCCTAGCTTTTTTTGTGTGGACCCCTGCAAGGGACATGAATTTTTTTTTAGCTGATCGACCTTTTCTAGCTCCATGATCTGACACCTGAGTGATGAAACATTGTACAATCAGTTTTCTAACATTGACATTGAAAATTCAGGGGTCCTCATGCAAGTTTTACATTGCTAAACTATTTGTATAAGTTGGATCACTAGAGATCGATTGACAAAGTCTAAAAAAAAAAAGAAAGAGAAAAAGATAATCCCTGCCTACCAAACCTAATTTTTTTCAGCAACGAAACAGGAAACACAACATGGTATGGGTTAGATCACTAGAGATTGGTCAACAAAGTCTGAAAAAAAGAAAGAGAAAAAGACAATTCCTGCCTACCAACCCTAATTTTTTTCAGGAACGAAATAGGAAACACAACATTTTTTTCCTAGGCCCAACTCCAAAATCTGGAAGTTTATCAGTGATACATCCAGGGGTTAAAATACCCGGTCTCGCAGTCTCGCCGCGCAAGTAATTTTTTCTGTGCGAGACTTATTCGGAAAGCCAGGTTGCCCGGAGCGCAAGTTATTTTTACAGCGGCTTGGTTTACGGCCAGCGGCTTCTGAAATAAACAGTGCTGCGGTCCCGCCTCGGCCTGCCGGCCTGCACGTGAGCAGTCCCTCTACTCAAATAACAGCGGGTGTTGATAATTTGGCGTTTCGCCTCCCTGAGCACGTGCGCGTAGGGATTTAATTCCAATATTTCCCCGATAAATGTGTTCGTCATTCTTATTTTCTTCGGCCGAGCGGCGTGGATCGAGCCGGAATCCTGCCGGCTGTGCGCGTGCCCGACCGCTAGTTTTCGGCGGTTCCGCGGAAAAATAATCCATCCCCAGAAGAAATGTTACGCATGAAAATAACAACTATACCATAGTTTCTCTGTTTTATGAGTTTTGAGGCCGTAAAATGTTTAAAACGGTTGAAATTTGTCAAAAAAACAGCTCGAAAGACTGAGAAATAATGGCCGACATGGCCGACACATGTTGACAACAAAAGTGGTCAAAGGTCAAGTTAGCAGCCAAACGTATAAGATATTGCAATGTGCTAAAACGATACTTTTTTCGGCATCAACAGAAATAAAAATTCACTCATATTTTTAGAAGGTTAATTTTCAAACATTGCTGTGAAATTTTTCAAATTTATTGGTTTCTAGTGTCAGAATATTATAATAGTTGTTTCTTAGAATGTGCGGTTGGATGCTGTGAAGGACTTGACATATACTAGTACACTGTACAATGTACATGTATTAGAGATTTAATATGATCATGTCATGCCTACCAGGCGGTCCGAGTGTGTCCCAAAAATTGTTTTTGAGTAGGAGTCTATAGACATAATCACATTTTTATTTGTTCAGCTGTGTCAATATGTGATTTTGTTTGGGATATGAATATAATTGGGTTACTATATAGCTTAGTTAGTTTGGCTTAGTTTTTAATATATTAAGGTTAATATCGGTAACACCTTTCGAAAACTTGCTTCAAGTTCCAGGTAGTAAATACATGTACATTTTGTATCATGTATTTTTCACTTGTTGAACTTGTGGAAGCACCGTTGGCCCCCGGTTAGGGGTCATCCGGGGAACCTATGCCCAATTTTTTCAAAATTAAGGGTGCTAACAGTAGTTGCACTGCTGTGTCAGAACTTACCAGTGAATAAACAAGACAAGCTTGAGTTTATTTCAATCTTTCTGTCTTTGACTCTTTGATAGAAGTCTTAGTTAAAGAGTTTTCATCTTAATTTAGCCAAGTTGCTCGAGTTATGCCGTTGTAACTGCATTGCCATGGGTTTAGGTCCGGAATCATAAAGGTACGGACCTGAACCTAAACCTCTGGTTATGAGTTCAGAACCTGAACGTGGGTTAAGGTCCGCATCCCTAAGTACAAGGCGGATCGGTCATATTGAGAGAGCTCTAGGTGTTTATGGAAGAAGGCCCAGGCAGGATGAGGCAGATGATGAAACCAGCAGTTCTTCCGGCTCAGAGTCGGAGATGTGAAGGCAGCATTTTTGAATAAACGATGACGTTTGACAGCTGTTGTGTTTGCTACTTGATAAACAAACCTATTAATTGATAAAAAGAATGGATAATGGATAATTGGGTAGCAGATTTGAAGAATCCAGTTCCTTTGAAATGGGGCAACCTGAAATCCTGATGGGGCAACCTGGCTTTTGACCCAGGTTGCCGCCCGGGCAACCTGGAAAAAAAAAGTATTTTAACCCCTGTACATCTTTTCCCCATATAGACCTCTGAACTAGATTTTGATTCTGCCTGCTAGGTTTGTGAGATACTGATGCACACTGCATTCCATAAGGAAGGGAGCTTATCTAAATCTGCAGCGGTGATATCTTGTCCCAGTGTCATCAATAATGTATGGAAACCTTTGGGTGTGGGTCGCCATGTTATTAAGGACTATTAATTCGACGCTCCACTGTACCGCACTGTCAAATTGATCTAGTCAATCCTAATTCCAGTACATAGGAGGAATCTAATGAGGAATCTTAGATCTAAATTGATAACACACCTGGCTGATGTGTTATGTGATAAAATGTCATATAATATTCTATGTATGGCAACCTGTTCTTTCATGAATAGGATAGAATAATTCAGTCACATCATTTATATGATTCTATGCAGATTATTTTGATTAGTTGTATTTCAACTTGATACTGATCCCTTTGTTAACTATATTGTAACATCACTGCTAGACTCCATCTGTAATTTTTAAAGATTTTTTTTCTAATTTTTTTGTGTGGAAAAAAAATCAGATTGTTTTTGAAAACATTGGCAATATTTTTACAGAGGCAAAACATTTTCTCACCCCCCTCCCCCAGTTTAGAGAGTGCCATGTACCAAGTCAACTGTTTGGATTGTAAATGCTTGACATATTGGAGTCTGCATAGTTTGTGGAGCAAACTGAACTGGGAGGGATGACAAACAGACAGTACAGAGAGCCCCTATCTTCTGTACCATCTCTCTCATTAGCAACCATACAATAGGGTCCTCTGGTATGTCCTTGGAGAATGATCAATTATTGGGTAGTCAGTATCTGTGAGTACTACAGCGAAGAAGCACGCATTTGAGACATTTGCTTGCCCCAACCCACTGCCAATACTCTAGTATCCTTGTCAAGGATTGATTTTGTGATATGTGCAAAGTGTACTTGTTTTCTTACTAGAGATGCATGTAAGCTTTTGGTGCTTTTAAATGGTAGAGGAACTATTGTCTATTACATATTATATACCAGTATGTTCTCATTTCAGAAAATTAATTGCAGTCCGCTTTTTGGTTTCAAGTCAATCAAGATATCAGTAATTCCTGATTTTTTTTCACGGTAATTTTAATGTTCGTGGTTTTCACAGTCAAGTTCTGTACCGCAAACTTATTACCATGAACAAATATTTTGGCCACTTTCTTCTTTCTGCAGCTTCTGCGGTGATACAGTTTCGTGAACACCTCCATTTTGCTCAGACATCCGAACTTTTGTTACCGCAAACATAAAGTGAATTATAGTAGTGTGAACAGGAGAGAGTTGAAAGGGAGAGTTATATCTGATCCACACTAGTAAAAGCATACAAACAAAGCAAAAAGCAGTGAAAGATGTGGAAGGACAAGTAGGGATTTTCTGATACCTTTGACCCAGTGTTGATGTCACAATTCAAAGAAGCCAGGTGACAAGCCTCACTGGGTCAGTCTACTGAGGAAGATCATAGTGACTGGTCGAAAGATAGCCTCTAGTCTAGACTCTAGGTGAGAGAATTTTCGTGTTGGACCAAAAGTTTTAACTTTAAACAAGTAGGGATTTTGTTGGATTTGTGCGCATATCTCATAAATTCCTCCAGAGTCACCCAATCACACCATCTTTCTGATGCTTCATTTTACTTTCAAACTTCAAAGGTAGCCTACTCTCAATTCCCAACTACAGGGCTTACCACATTGGCACCATTCACACAGGGGATACATGTACCTGGCTGAGTTTCAACACAAACACTGTATCAGGAAGGCGGAGGCCAGTAAGGTCCCACCACAGAGGTGCCAGATCCACGCACCAGACTTGTAGTAACGCCACAGCAAGTAGTTCTTATGGATAACATCAGCACACGCATTGATTTTCGCCTGAAAAAATTTTGTTGCCGTCTGACAGTGGTCAACATGATGAAAATGGGCAAAGATGTCTGTTGCTAATCTGGAAGATGGATGGCAGATAACTATGAAGAGAGGAGACAAGAAAAGGCTCTGATTTAATGTTTTGTTTCTTACTTTGATGCAGTGGTATGTGATGCTGGCTGTGTATACTATATGTGATGTTCCTACTGAATGAAAACCATTTGTACAATGACTGAGTCAAAATTTTAAAATGTAGGAACCTTGTTTTTTTCGGCCCGCCTTGTTTTTTTTCCCCGCTCGCATTAGATTTGGAGTCTACGGAGGATGTCATCCATAAAATTTACTTGCTGTGGCCTAACTTCTAAGGTCCCGCTGCTGAGGTGCCAGATCCACGCACCAGACATGTTCTAATGGATCCAACAGATTCCTTGTGTCGATAACAATTTGTACATGATGATGTCACCTGGTGTAAGGAGGTGACAGGAAGACAGGGCAGACTCTCTTGTGGTACAGTTGCTCCCTGGTGTGGGGGAAGAAGGACCTGTGGTGACCAGAACCAGATCTCTGGTCAGGAAAAGACTGGATACTGCAATTCACTTTATGTTGTATCAGGCCACAGACCACTATTTTGAGCTTCCATGGAAATATATGGTTAACATCTAAGAAAATTAATCTGTCAAAAATCACCTGCTTGTGTACGTGTGAAAGTGTTTGACTATTGAAAACTCAAATTGACAGGGTACCTTGACCTTAAAATTGTCCATTTAGTCCAAAATTCTTACTTTTCTATTGACCGAAAGTAATCCTATGGTCTATGGCCAGAATGACCTCCCCTGTACATCACCAGAAATAGTGACCTTTGCTTTGTTCGTGGTCTGAGGAAAATGGAGGTGTTCACAAAAGTGTATGTTCACGGTGGCTGCAGGTGTAGGAAAAAGGAAGGAGTCGAATTTGTTGACAGTAATGATAAATTCTTGGTACAGAATTGACCGCAAAAAACTGCAAACGTAAAAAGTACCACAAAAATTTTTGTCTGTACATGTAAATCAGGGCAATGACATTTGACAGTGCGCTCAGCAAAGCTGAAGGCAATAAAAAGGGGGAAAACTGAGCCAAGACACCACCAAATAAGGTGACGTCACTGGAGCTATCTCTGGCTAGGTTGCTTTTATCAGTCAGACAGTGAAGTAATTCGAAACCTTGCTGGAAGGTTCTTGGCTCCAATGCCAAGGTCCCCTGTCCCAAATTTAACCTTGAACCTGCTGAATCATCTATTGCCCCTGAGGGTTCTTTCACAGCATATATAGGGGTCAGGTACAGAAGGGCAATTTTCAGTGGCACAAACCATGCATTGTGTTCCAAAGACATTGAGCACCGTATTCTCCCCAAAAAAATTTATAAAAAAAAGTAACTCTCTGAGACACTATTTTCTTCTTATTGAGGGACAGATTTTGTCAAGTTATGTTTTCCCTCTGTTATAGCTTCATTCTAACGTCAAGTTTTCAGTACTCTACAGTATGTGATACTTCTAGTGGGAATGGTAGCATTCTACAGGCTAATGATATAGTGCTAGCTACAAGCACAATTTACAGTTTACATCGTAACTGTTCCAACAAAATTTGAACTGTTATAATTTTTTTCTTTACTGTCTTCGTATGGAACTTATAGTCAGATGAGCACATAGCTCACTGTTGTGTCATTTCAGCTTAGTCCAATGCTGTATCTGTTCTTATCAAACACTATGTAGATAACTCTTGAGTGGCAGTTGTTTTTTCCTGTAACTGTTTTAATCTCAGTGTAGTGGTTTAATTGGTTTTCACATATTTCTCCCATGGTTTATCAGATGATGTGGGCATGGTGAGCATCAGTGTCTCCTTGTTTGACTGGCAGCCACACTCAGTGATGGGAAGTTGTATATCTCTCACCAACATGCACCAGATGCTGCTCAACCTCTTTGTGTACAGTAGAAACTAATGTATTTACATCAGGGCTCAAGCCAGCACCTGTTTTCCCATCTTTTGCGGATACTGACGGAAAAATTTTAAAACCAATCCATCAACCCTGGTACACGAAATTGACAAAAAATCTTGGGTAAGACTTCGAAGAGTATAAAAACAACTGAAGAACCACCAAAACCACTCTCAACCCCATGCTTTGCCTCTCAAAATGTGGAATATGGTTTTGAAGGCTTGAAAATCCAAAATTTGCCCCCAAACCCTATAGTTTGCAAGCACTCTCTTCCCAGGTCCAACCATGAACCTTGGCTGACAGAAAAAAAATTGAGCTGGACAGGGCCCTGATTTACGTATAAGATAAATGTCTAAAAGTCTAAATATCTTCATGAATAAATGACTGGAGGACCTACATGTACTTGGTGACCTACATGTACTTGGGGATTACACAAAGGGAAGATTTTCTCTTACATTTTTCGTTTGTTGTGTTCTAAATATAGGCTTGTTCTTGGGTAGTTTTCTGCAGCAGAAGTTTAGAATGTAACCTCATGTTTGGATAAGTGACAGAGGTCAAGCTGATATGCTGTCAATTGTCCATTAACCTGATGTGGGTGACAGTCAGTGAACTAGTTCAGTGCCTTTACTGTGTGGTTTATATATCTGGGGACACATGTGATGTCAGGGGCATTGCAGCTCAGTTTCAACACTGCAGACTTACACCTGCACCCTATGTAGCTAGACTTGGATACCAGATAAAAATAAAAGGTTAAAAAAGATGAAATTAGAAAAAAAATTGGTCTGAATATAAAGCAGAATATTCTAGATGTACTAGTAATATTAAATCAATGGCTTTGCGATGGTGCTGTCTATCTACCAAGGCTTTAGAACAGATAAACTCAATGACAACTTGAAGAAAAGAAGACAAGGTACTTGGGTTTTGGTACTGTCATAAGCCAAGTACAGGTATCTTGTCTTTTTGGTAGTTCATATAATACTGTTGGTCCCAATCATACAATCATATAATACCAGATGGCTCTGCAATGATACTGTCTATCTACCAAGGCTTTAGAACAGATAAACTCAATGACGACTTGAAGAAAAGAAGACAAGGTACTTGGGTTTTGGTACTGTCATAAGCCAAGTACAGGTATCTTGTCTTTTTGGTAGTACATATACTACTGTTGGTCTCAATCATACAATGATATGATACCAGATGGCTCTGCAATGATGCTGTCTATCTACCAAGGCTTTAGAACAGATAAACTCAATGACAACTTGAAGAAAAGAAGACAAGGTAATTGGGTTATGGTAGTGCCATAAGCCAAGTACATGTATCTTGTCTTTTTGGTAGTACATATACTACAGTTGGTCTCAATCATACAATCATATGATACCAGATGGCTTTGTGATGATACTGTCTATCTACACAGTACCAAGGTTTTAGATTAGAACAGATAAACTCAATGATAACTTCAAGAAAAGATGACAAGATGCTTGCTAGGGTTAGGACTACTGTTGGTCCCAGTTCATACAATCATACCAGATAGTTGTTTATTTACCAAGGCTTTAGAACAGAAAACTCAATGACAACTTCAAGAAAAGAAGAAGACAATATGCTTGGGTTAGGACCAATACGTATTGGTCCCAAGACAATCTTGTGCTAATTCTTACTTCTTAAACTCTGTTCTGTTCAGCCCAAGTTGCAGTCATCAGATCTCCTGGACCTGGTCGCCTCCCATTTCAACCTGAAGGAGAAGGAATACTTTGGGCTTGCTTATCACGATGAAACGTGAGTATTTAATCTGATATATTGCACCTGTTTTAGTTTGATATTTATCTATATGGACATGCATAAAGTCGTGTCAGGTATATGAACCTGGGCACCTTGGATATCACTGTGATGTGTTCATATAGGGTCATATGGTCTTGCAGGGCTCAAAATACATAAGATCAATGACCTGGACCAGACGTCTGTCACCATGGTAACTGGCAATGTAGCAGACACCTTGTGGTGTTGGGTTACATAATGTAGCAAGACAGAGCTGGAGATTCTGGTCACGATATACATGTACCAGTATTTCTATGTGTTTGAGTAAGAATAATAAACAGAGCAGTAGTTTGTTGTTAGGCTAGACCATGTAGTGATAAATATTATATATGCATTTGCTTTGAAATGTTATCATTCTAGTCAGTATTGCGAATCTCAGCTGCCTGGAGGAACAATATATCCAGGCCATAAACCATGGTACAACTGCATGCAAAACAGCAAGTGTAATATGGGTGTGATAAAATGTAAGAGGACTTTACAGCCGTAATAACACTGGCCTTGAAACCACGGGCCAACCATTTTTATGGCGCACTATGTCACTCGAATGCCAAGTAGATGTCCAGTTACTAATTAATTAGTCGATACAAATGCAGTTCAGAAACCACTAGCCTTAAAAAGGGTTACTATGAATAGCCTTGACTGTGATATTGCTTCAATATTGTTTAAATTGAATGAAACTACCAATCAAATTTCCCACAGCAATACAAATGTGGCTTGCTCTTATCAAGATATTCTATTATAATTTAGTACTGAAAAGTCTTGTCTTAAAGAAAACGTGCTAACTATAATATAATATAATGACAGATCAAAAATGCTTATTTCACTTCCAGATGCCTAAATGTACTGTAGCACTAACTTTAACCATTTATTTATTTATTTATTTATTTGGCTTACAAAGAAGCCAGGGTGTCCCAACTAGTCAGAGACTATTATTAAGGGACACCCTGGGGAGTAAGAAGAAACGTTATACATACATAAATATACATATTACAATCCAAATACAATAAGAATAATATGTGCTTACATTTATGAAATACATATTGTTTGAGTGGTAGAGTCCATGTATTTACAAAGTTGCCGACTCGGAGATAATATGTACAACTGTTAAGTCGGGAGGTGACACAGATGTGATATGTAGTTAAGTAGAATATGGATCCCCGAAGGATTTCCATGCTTTAGCTTTAAACGAAAACAGTGTAGGGGCCGATTGAATGTCAACTGAGAGGGAGTTCCATAAGAGGGTGGCTCTGTGGAGGAAGGCATTCTGTGTTCTGGAGCTTTTGGGGATTTGTACACAAAGATTATTTCCATTTCTGAGGGGGTATCTGGAGTGTATGGCGGATGTCCTGGTAACAGGTAATAAACTAGCTAGGTGGGGCGGGCAGTGACCATTCTTCAATTTGTACAGAGTGGTTACTGCGTGAACCTTACGACGGTAAGAAAGTGAAGGGAGGGCAAACTGAGAATAGAGAGATTTGTGAGAGGGATAAGGAATCCCGTGGTGTCCACTTATCACTCTGGCTGACCGGTATTGGACCGATTCGATGGTCTTTTGATCACGCATGGTGAGACCACCCCAGACGATGTCAGCATATTCTAGAACTGGTCTGACAATGATTTTGTACAGTTGTAGTAGTATGGTCTTGGGCACCTTTTTCCGAAGGGCGCAGAGCATTCCAGCAGTACGTCTTGCCTTGTTTGTCATGGCTTCGACGTGTGCAGACCAGGTGAGTTTACTGGTTAGGGTCACACCCAGGTGTTTGTGACTGTGGACAATCTGTAAGGTGGTACCGGCTAAGATGACCGGGGGGATCCTTTGTGGGAGGGGGCGGGTAGTGAGAAACATAACTTTACATTAATTTAACTTTAACCATTTGACCACTTCCTGGTGGTCACTTCGATAATTTTTCCCATTGAACAAGCACTAAAGATCCTGTTTACATTACAGTTCGTCAGTATTAATTTTTTTTTGGTAAATACTTTGTATATACTTGACTTATATATGTATATATGACTTTCAAAATCTCCTTTTGCAAGTTTTTCCCCCTTCCATGATTCACTTTAGCCTGGGTACCATCCGGATTTTCGCTACGCAACGCTCTGATTTTTTCGAGCGTTGGGTAGCGAAAATCTGGATGGTACCCAGGCTAGATTCACTTGGGTATTGCACTTTATTGTTATTCTGTCCTAAATCTTATTAGTCAATGACATTGACACTAATTGCATTTATAAAGGGCACAAACACAATTATAACACTTTCTGATTTACGTTTGCTATTTGCTTTGACCGTTTGGGTGACCTGCACCTGACCTACTGAAAAAAAGATTAACTTTCATATAGGAAATTGGTAAATAATGAAGGGTAAGAAACCTGTGGCATCATAATGTGCACTTGTATCATTAGGGAACCACCAGAAGACACAGGGCTCTAATGAGCTTGTTGCCCTAATATTGCTGGTATTAGGATAACATTATGCATTGTGGTATGGTTATGCTACATTCAGATAAAAAGTGAATACGGAAAAAAGCAAAGCTTTTGTCGGGAACATTTTCAAACCACTATCCCCAATAAATGGAAAAGACTGACAAAAATACAGTAAAAGTAAATTAAGACCAAAATTTAATCTCTGGAAAACAAGAATAATATGTAAGTTTGTATTAAATTACAGGTATTAAGTGATATTTTTGTCTGAAAAGATTTTTGTTGCATAAGGCCACACCAATTTAATTTGTTGGTTCTCGGATTCGCCTCTTCGTTTTTTTCTGATTTGCAAAAACAAAACAAAAATTGATTCTGGTCCTGAATCAACTGAAAAATGCTCATATTTTGCCCCCAACAGTTGAGGAAAGTCCTTTTCTTCCTAGTTATGGGTTCACCACACCACGAAGTGGTGTGGTGAAACCATATTGCTTTTTCTGATGTTTCTTCTTCTCCTTCTCCTCCTGCCATTTCTTTAAATGGATTCAGCTTCTTCATTTTAGGGCCTAAGGTCCTGAAATTTGGTATGGAGGTACAGTGGGCAAATACCCCTAGGCGTTTTTTAAATTTTTGTGATACAAGCTTTTACAATCGTTTTATTTGCTTTTTTAGCGGTCCCCATAGGAAAGTACTGTGCGGGGGCGTACGCGCGTGACGTAATAAGAAAGAAATTCGGCGGCATACCCATATATGGGCATGCAAGCATGAACCTGACGCAGCCTAATCTTTTCTTCTTGCTGATTGGCTGTTGGATTTGATTGGATTAACTCAATTAACACCTGTTCAAAGCCATTCCATTTTGACAGTATGAACTCAAGTGTTTTGGTAGGTACAGCACAGGCCACGAAATACGCATCAATTTTCGAGGGACGTTCTGCGGGAGAGTGCAGGACGCTGTGCGGGACCTCCCTCGGGAGAGTGCGGGACGTCCTCCGGGAGAGTGCGATACGTTCTGCGGGAGAGTGCGGTACGTCCAGCGGGAGAGTGCCGTACGTTCTGCGGGAGCCAGACATTTGCTCTTCTCTGTTTGAACAACGCAAGTTGGAGGTCAATGACCTGCGCCCGGCGTGTAAACAAGATTGGACAGGGAGCGGCTGTAATATCAAAGGAGCCGGCGGCTTCTGCTAGCCGGGTTGATAGTTAAG